TAAAACTTTTATAAAATTTCTATATTTTAATTATTTTACTAAACATTTTATTTAAATTACATTATTTTATTTATATAATCTACATAAACTTTAGTTATTATGATATTTACAACAAGGTTAATCTATTTCACAATTTAATACATATTTTATTTTCTATATTTTCACATTTTACATTAGACATTTATTTTAATTAAATTATATGTTTAAACAATATTTAGGCTCTGAAGATGGCATTACGCCGAAACAGCGCTGTTAGCTTTATTCCAGTTTTAGATAAATATGAACTCAAACAATACCGCCTCGTTGAATGTCTTACAAAGAAGTTAATTAATGCAAAATGGGCAAACAATTTCAATGAAATTTGCATTTCTGAAAACCTCGTTCCTAAATATATATATATATATATATATATATATATATATATATATATATATATACAGAGGAGATATTATATACACATGAATAAATGGTCTGCATGTCTTTAGGTGGTTGCAGAAACTTTAAACCATTCCACTTTTTAAACCTGTTTTATTATTTATATTTTATCGTTCCATCTTATTTTTCAGGCACGTTGTGAGAAAGATCACATATATTAACCTCACGTATCATTGAATGTTCTATTCAAAATTATTTATAAAATGAATTTTGAATTATTTTCAAAATAAAAATGGCTTTTGGAAATTAAAAAAATGATTATTTGACTTTTTAATTTATAAGTCATAATGCCATGTTGTAGTTTCTAATAATGATGCAAACGCTAAATCTAAACCGTCCTAAAATGTAAGAATTTTTCTCAAACAAACAAATAAACAAACAATCAATCGCTCAGCCAGTCAAACAAACAAAAAAAATCATCCATCAACTTTGACAAAAAGCTGTTGTCACAGGAGCAAAATGAAATGTAATTAGAAACATTACAGACCAGATTTCGTTTGCCTCCAGACCAGCTTCGGCTCTCATCTCACCAGTGAACAACAAAATGTAGTGAAACGTCCGGCCAACTAATCTAACTTCTCCGCTTTGTGTAGCAATCTTAATATTTAACTTTCTCACACGACGTTGTTGGTACATGTATATACATGTATACGTTAACGATCTAGGCGTTCAAACGGTGATCTGGTAGATGGTGATCTGTTTGCTAGCGAACCAGACGACTGCGAAACTAGGTAGGCTTCGCGCACAGACAATTGAGTAGTAATGCACGCTTTTGCTGTTTCGCTCTTCTCTCCGTTACGTTAGATCTAAGCACGCAATTTAAAATTCGTTCATTTAGCTCAAAATATTGTTATAATTATACATTCTGAAGTCATTTCTAATTTAACCTCAATCTGTGTAGCGAAATACATATACATTGAGTATTATAATAAACATAAGTTATTATTTGGCTACCGGAGTTGCGAGACAGATGATGCAATTTATTCACTTGTTGGGTTGTTATAAAATATAAATGTATATAAAAAGTTAGTAAAATAGTATT